AAAAAAAAAAAAAATTAATTTCTTTTTAGTGCCATTTTTTCCATTACTTTGCCAAAAAAAAGACATAGGCTATGTCCTCAAAGTTAGAGTGAAATTTCTCAGTCCCCTGAGGTGCAAATAGAACCCATTGAACAACCCTCAGGCAGTCCTGAGAAAGGTTTTGGGAGGAGTGGTGCCTTTGTGGCTTGCTGGGGTCAGCAAATGGGGCCATCAGCCCCTTACCCCCACTCTGTCCCTGACTTGCTGGAACAGGGGCACAGTTGTAATGAGTCCACCTTTGACAGGAGGCAGTGAGCACTGTCCTGAAAGCCCCCAGGTTTGGCTGTGCAGACATCAGGCTACAGGCAGAGTCTTGGGTTTCCTCTGGATCCCTGCTGCCCAGCACCTACAGGGAGTGGTGGTCTCACAGCTTCATTCCAACAAGCTTTTTCTGACCCCAGAGTTATACCCCTGTACATGCTATACTTTGTAGCTTCCAGAGTGCAAAGAACCCTTCCAGTGGGTGAGCCCAGGCTGCTCACACTCACAGGAGTGTGCTCAGGTGCTTGACCACACAATGCAGATGTGGCAGAGGTGAGGTCAGAAGCAAGTCTTCCCCCATACCCAGGGTCAGCGTAGCCTGCCTTTTGAACTCTACAGACTTCATCCTTGCACTCCTACCACTACAGTACTGAGCTGTGGTCCCACTTGTGTTCCACCCTGCCCTCTGCAGCCAGACCCCTTGCACCACTTCCCTCCCACAGCCCAGAGGCCGGGGTGGGGGGCCGTGGGCAGGTGGAGCTAGGGGGAGGCGTTCACTGCTGAGTTGCTTTTAACATCCCGAGTCGCTATTGTTTGCCTCAGTGGGTTCAGTGCCTCTCTTCGTCCCTGACAATCTGTTCCTCTGTCTTCTCACATATATATAGATCCCCCCTCCCTCAACTGTAAGCATTCTCCCACTTTCCATCCTTCTTTTTTTTATAACGTGGGAAGAAAGGCTCTGGAAGTGGCAGATCAGAGCAGCCGCGGGGGAAGCTGTTTGGCAGGGGTGGGAGAGGCCTGAGCCCAGCAGAGCTTCCTCCCTCCAGTGGGTACCTTTCTGCTTTACTTTTCATTTACTGCTCTCTCCACAGCACCCTGGGGAGAGGGTGTGCTAAGTGGGGCTCAGGAGATGGACAGGGTGGTGCAGCAGACAGAGATTGGGTTCTACTTAGACCTGACTCTGTCCCCTCCCTTGACTTGGGCAGCCCCCTCTTCTTCCCCAAGTCTCACTGTCCAGGGAGTGCAGAACTCAAAGCAGATCAGACTTTTGGGGAGTGGAAGGTGGACTTAACCAGTTCCTTGGCTCCCACTTACACATACTCAGTAGCTGGGGATTTGCAGAAGGAAACTGACCTGGAGACCCCTGCTATGCAGTGGGCATGTTCAGGGGAGCTGCCATTCCCAGCCAGACTGGCCTATAGAATACCAGGGAACTGTTGCTGCTGCCTTTTTCCTTTTTCTTTTGCTGTTTCATTGGAAAATTTAAAGCATACCCAAAGATAGAATAATGGAAATATCATCCCCAGCCTCAACAGTTACAAACTGAGCAGGCACGTTTCATGAAAACCCTCCACTCCATTTCCCAACGCCCCTCAGTCTCAGACATGTCATCTCATCCACCAGGATTGCAGTGTGCAGCTCTAAATGACAAGGACTTTTTTTAAAAACATAACCATAGTACAATATCCCACCCTAAAGTATCCCCAGTTCTTCAATTGCCTAATGAATGGTCTTTTTTATATTTGGTATGTTCAAATAATAGTCCAGTTAAAGACCATATACTACTTTGGGTTATTAGTCCCTTAAGTCTTAAACATTGGTTCTTCCCTACCCACCTACCCTGGGTTTCCCATGTACAGTTTATTTGGTGAAGTAACTGGGTCAGTGTAGCTGGGAGTTATGTTCTAGGCCACTTCTCAGGAGGGCTACATCAGGGTCTCTGGGGTGGGGGCAAATAGACTACAAACCCCTCCCTGGGTGAATTGTATGTTCTGGCCAAGCAACCTTGGGATATCCTCAGCAGGTGTATGTCCCTGCCGTCAGCCAGAGTAAAAAAGGTGAAATTGGACAATCTGGCCCTGGCTCTACTTCCTGTGGACTTCATGTCCTTGGGCAGCTCCCTTCCTCTCTCTGGGCTTACGGTTTTCCTACCTGTATATTAAGAGCTGATGCTGTTAACTGTGGGGCTTCACTGTGAGGGTCAGGTGGGCTGCCCTGAGCTGTGAGGTATTGTGTTCAGTCTTAGGAAGTACATGGGCTGAAAGAGCCCTGGGCAGCTGTAATGTCTTCTAACTGTGCCCAGCTGCCCCCAAACTTTGTGAACCCCTTACCTTGTAAAACCCTTCCCTACCCCATCTTCCCCTTTCCCTGGCCAAACCTTTAATCACTGGGGGGATGTGTTTTGTTTTTGTTTTTCAAGGTGATTAAAACCCCTCTGATTTTTGTCGACCCTAATCGTAGTCCAGCTGGCCAAGCTGCTACCCCCGCACAAGCCCAGGCTGTGAGCACCCCGCGGAAGGCCCGGGCCTTGGAAAACACAGCCAAGAGTTCCTCATCCGAGAGCGAGGATGAGGACATAATCCCTGCTACGCAGTGCTCGACTTCTGGTGAGCACAGCCCCTATGCAATGCTGACTCTCCTGCTGCAACCTGCCAGGCTTGGCTGGGTGGGGTCACCCTTACTGCCTTGAATCTCGACCCAAAAGGGAGAGGACACTGGCCAAGTCACATGACAAGGTGTTAGTCAGAAGGGGCTGGGGTCAAGTCTCCAGGCCCTGCATTGGCCATCCTGATTCAGGCCTAACTCAGACCTACAGTCCTCAAGGACTAATTCCCAGGGCTTTTCTGCGCCAGCTATAAGCAAGGAACCCAGACCAGTGGCTAGAAGTTGCAGGGACGAGGTTTCTACATAGTCTAAGAAGGAGCTCTGCAACAACTGACTGAATGTGGAGCAGGTAGTCAGGGTAGTAGTGAGTTTCCTGTCCCTGGTGGCATGTAAAGGGGTTAGGTAACCTAAGCAGAGACATTGGAGAGAGGTATTTCATTTATCAGTGGGAGACAGGAACAGATCTGTGGTTTCACTGTGAATCTACCAGGAAAATCATTAATATTACTATTGTTGCTATAACACTTTTATGAGGAAGTAATACCTGATCTTGGTAGGATAACTTAAAAATACAGATTAGCACAAAAAAAAAAAATACCACCTGTAATCCCATTGCCCCAAATAATTACTGTTAACATACAACAAGTAGTAACTTTACAAAAAACTAGTATATACATGTGTATTTTTAAAGTGAAACCATCCTATATGTAATACTCAGTAACCTTTGCTAGATATAATGTGACACTAAGGTTTTTTATTAATACGTGTTCACAGTGAGATTCCTGCTGGCTACAAGGAAGTCCTTTTGCGTAGACATACTACAGTTTATTTAGCTAGTGCCATGTTGGAGGAAGCAGAGAGTTTTGTTTCTGGGGGTTTTTGGCAGTTACAGTGTTCCAGTGAACACGTGTATAACAGCCTCTGCAGATAACCGGGGGTACTCTCAGGAGAGACTATTTTAACTGCAAGGAGAGTCATTTGGCACCAGCATTCCAGCCTGTTGCTCAGGAGTAGCAGCCTGGCCAGCTTAGAAAGGGAAAGAGAAAGCCTGCCTGCTGTCAAAGCAGCCATTTGAGTTCCTTGGGCCTGTGACATAGTGACATCTCTTACCCAGGAGGCTTGGGGAGGGGAGTAAACAACCTTCTACCTCTGTAAGCACAGAGCCAGGTCCCCAAAAAGGTCTAGCAAATTAGGTTGTTGCCACTGCTAGGGAGGCTGTGGGGGTTCTATGCCCTGACATGCCCCCCATCCCATTCCATTTCAGCCATTAGAACCAACATGACTGTGCCCACTGCTCACCCAAAGACAGCCCCCAAAACCAGCATTGCTAGAACCAGCAGCAACAAGAAACAGGAGGGATCAACTGCTCAGGTACCACCCTGTGGGCAAGGGAGGGCCCTGTAGGCCAACGGGTGGCCCCAATCTTCTGCCACTTTACTTAACCAGTGCTGAGAGGTTGGACTGTAATAAATATTACCCCCACCGCCAGAGGCTTTCCTGGTGTCTGGCTACAGCCCCAATGCAGGCTTTCCAGCTCCCCTTTGAGTTGTCAGGAAGATTAATCTGAGAATTCAGCTTCCAAGTAGAACCAGCCCTGCACCTTGAGTCCCTTATCAGATTCTCCAACATGGGCTTTTTGATTTTGTTTCCCTTCTGCTTGTTATGGACAAAAATTGCCCTTGTTTTTTTGTCACCCTCGGTAGAGTGCCGTGGTGTCAGACCTCACAGCAACCTCAAACTCTCAGGCTTAAACAATTCTCTCTTGCCTCAGCCTCGTGAGTAGCTGTGGCTCAGGCTGGTCTCAAACTCCTGAGCTCAGGCAGTCTACCTGCCTCAACCTCCCAGAGTGCTGGGATTACAGGCATGAGCCACCACACCTGACCCCAAAATTGCCCTTTGTATTATTTATACTGTCTATACTATTGACTTGAACATTCTTCTCAGCTTTCGCCATTTTCAGTGCATTTTTATTTGCTCTGTGCCTGAATCTAAAAGCTGGGCAGGGAAAGATTAATGGCCCATTGTTCAGACTGTAAAACTGAGCACATAACCCCTACCTGGAGGTTACGATTTGAGCAGGAATGGGTAAGGCCAGAACCCAGCTCTTATAACTCCCAGGGCCTTGTTCTCTGGGCCATATCAGTGTGGTTTCCTATCCCATGGAAAGGGAGAAGCCCGCTGCGCACCCCACCTCCTTTTTCTGAAGGGGCAGAAGAGTACTGGTGTGAACTGGGGGGAAGGGGTTGCCCCAGCCCAAAAAGGTGGTATACCACCTGCTCAGTGGGCTTACCACAAGCTCCAGACCAAGAAGAGCTGGGAGCTTGCATGCTGGGTGGGTAGCTGGGCTGTGGTCATCTGTTAAGCCATTTAGCCAGCAGGTGGTGCTGAGCATCTGTCCGTGCCAGGCACTGGGGAAGTGGTAGGAACAAGACAGGGAGGGACCCTGCCCTCACAGAGTGCCCAGACCAGCAGGGAGGCAGCCACTAAACAGGGAAAACAAAATATAAATATTCACCAGCTGGTAAGTGCTCTGAAGGAAACAGTATAAACTAGAGAATAATGGAGTGACCTCTTTAGAAAGGTGGGTGAAGGCCTCCCCAAGAAGGTGACAGTGAAACAGGGGAAACAGCAGTTACAGGATGAGCTGGGAGCTACAGACCCAGGACCCTTTGGGGGTGCACTTGGGAGTGAGGGGAACTGATAGAAGAAGGTAGGGACAGCTGGATGGAGCAGCAAGAAGAGCCCAGGCCTCAGCAGGAGAGCTGTGCCACATGTGGAGGGATGTGGGAGGCCCAGAGGCTCTCTGCAAGGGGTCAGAGCCAGTTTCTTTCTTAAGTCCTCTCCCTGGCTGCTGGTGGGGATGAAAGTAGGAATGGTATCGGGAGGACCCTGGGCTGAAGACTTGTCCCCAATAAAGGCACAAATTGAATAATGTGGCCACAACCAGGGCCTGAGCTGCTTCCCTCCCCTGGGTTGGGGACTGTCTTTGTGCTCTTGGAGAATAATGTGATTTGCTCATAACCTGAAGACTACCCCCCATTTTGTTGCCCAGATGGTGACGTTACTCCTTGACTGGCCCGCAGTTCCCTACCCCCACCTCGCAGCTATGTCTCTTGTCGCCTGGGTCTGCTCCCACCCCAGCCAGAAAAGATCTGGACCAGGGTGTGGCACAGATTGCATGCCAGGGACCTGTGGGTCTCACAGCTGGTTCTCACTGCTCATAGGTGACAAAGAGCAACCCACCTTCCTTCCCACTGACCCAGGCTACCCTGAAGGTCCTCACCCAGCAAGCCTGTGGGGTGCCCTGAGGAACTGGGGAAAGCTGGCCCTGTTCCCAGAGGCCTCATCTTTCAGCCCTGCCACAAAGTAGAGAAGAGAGGGCACAGGCATGGCCCTGAATCCTGGCACCAGCACCTGCCTGCTTGTGACCTTAGCCCTTGTGTTTACCTCCCTGAGCCTCAGCAGCCTGATCTGTGTGGAGGAATTTATAGTACCCATCTTAGAGAGTTGTGAGAAGGAGCAAACATGTGATTTACCCAACATAGCGCCTACCCTTGTTGAAGTGTTCAGGAAGGACCAGATGTTTCTTACCCTAATTTTCCTTCCACACGCTCCTTTCACCAAATTAGGTTGACAGTGCTGTAGGAACAGTCCCTGTGACAGGTCCCCACAGCGCCCCTGTCCAGGCCGGAATGACCAACAGTCTCAGAAAACGTAAGCTTCCTGAGGGCCAGCAGGCCACAGCCAATCCCTTGGGACATCCCAAGGCCAAAGCCCCTGGGAGCTCAGATGACAACGAGGATAGCAGCAACAGCTCTTCAGAGAGTGAGAAAGATGCTGAAGGACCCCAGATGACCAAATCAGCCCACCAGCCAGGTAAGGGTGCCTGATGAGGGATGAGACGTGGACTGGGAGGTCTCCTAGGCCTGATCTACCAACTTGTTTTGCGACCTTAGCAAGTCCTCCTATGCTGGGCCTCAGTTCCCCAGCTATACAATTCTATGAGGAAGTCAGTCCAAATGATTTCAAAGACCTGACTTTGCTGTTTGACCCTCAGCTTTTTTTTTGCAGTTTTTTGGCCAGGGCTGGGTTTGAACCCGCCACCAGCATATGGAGCCAGCGCCCTACTCCTTTGAGCCACAGGGGCTGCCTGGCCCTCAGCTTTTTATATCAGGATCCCTTGACTGATTCCCCAAAACTTTAGGACCATGCTTCCCCCACAGGAGATAGCAAGGAAATACAAATGGGGCCCCTAGAATTAGAAATGAAGCTTTTGGCATTCAGGTGTCTCACCTAGAAATAATCCTGTGAATAGCATGGAATTGAGGAGAAGCAATAGGAAGCTTTAGGCAGGAGGGTGAGGAACCTACAAAGAGACCAGAACATCGCAGCACCCAACTGAAGGGGTCTGCCATGCCTGGCAGGCAGGGGCCACCTGGGACTGCCAACAGGATACCTAAGCTTTTCTTCAGTAGGTCCAGCCACCTCCAGCAGGGAGACGTTGGTGGAGGAGACCACAGAATCCAGCGAGGATGAGGTGGTGGCACCTTCCCAGGTAACTTCAGGGAGAGGGCTGGCAGCCTCGCAAGTTTGGGGGCTTGGACCCTTCCTCTTTTACAGGGGTTTAAGGCAAGGTCATGTGTGCAGGGCACCAAGTGGGCTATTTCTTCCTCTGAGGCTCCGTTCAGTACTTAACCCTCAGGGTCTGTAGACAGGATTGACCTTGCTTCTAGGTAATACTCAAACAAAAACATTCTTTAACAGATTTCTTTTAAGGTATGTCTATGTGTGGCAAAGTGCTAGTGATTTTCTTTGTGCATTAAGAGATTTCCCTTTTTTTTGAGTCTCACTTGGTCACTCTTGGTAGAGTACCATGGCATCTTAGCTCACAGCAACCTCAAACTCTTGGGTTCAAGTGATTCTTTTGTCTCAGTCTCCCAAGTAGCTGGGACTACACGCACTTGCCACAATGCCCGACTATTTTTAGAGATGAAGTCTCACTCTGGCTCAGGCTGGTTTCAAACTCATGAGCTCAGGCAGTCTAGCCGCCTCAGCCTCCCAGAGTGCTGGGATTACAGGGGTGAGCCACCACACCTGGCCAGAAATTTCCTTTAAAATATGCCTTTCCAAAAAGTGTGTTAATTCAAATACTTTAAGAAATCCCCCTCTGGGCCTTGGTACCTAAAGGAGCAGGACTCCCCTTCATGGTCCCTGGACTGGTTTCCTGGAAGCTGTGCCTTGGTCTGGGTGGGGTGGGTTGCAACCTCTTTCACACTGGGCTTCTTCAGTCTCTCCTCTCAGGTTATGTGACCCCTGGACTAACCCTAGCCAATTCCCAGGCCTCAAAGGTGACTCCCAGGCCGGACTCCAACCCCTCAGTTTCATCAACTCTAGCCACCAAAGGTAACACAGATGGCAAGCAGGAAGCAGAGCCCCAACAAACAGCAGGCACCATGTCCCCTAAAATAGGTAAGTTGAGGGTTACAGGAAGAACACAGCAGGACAGGAAGGGACGAGGCAGTGGACCCCTCTTCCCTCCCCCAGCAACAGTTCCAGGTGTCCTATCTGCCATCAAGGAGGGCCTCTCCTAGTAAGACCTTGTGGCCATGCGTTGGGCCTGGAGGTGCTCATCAAAGTACAGATGGGGCCCCATGCCCAGGTGTGTGGCTCCCAAGGTCTGGCACAGCCTGGAGGTCAGCGTTTATCCAGACCTGGAGGATGCTGATGGACCTGGTAGGATAACTCTTTCCTTAGAGGAATCAGCATCTTGGCTTGTGGAGTAGGCTCTCACTAAATGACAGAACCAGGCCTCCATCCATCCTAGGACCCCCTTCTACTTAGCCTGCCCTGTCCACTTCCCCTAACCCACCACAGTTCTGGAGCCCCTGCACTGTGCTGAGGGGCACTGTCAGACTCACTGCACATTGCAGGGAGCAGCCCCCAGCCTATATGACATGGTGTGCAAAATGGGCCCCTCTTCAAGGTGAATACCCCCAGGGCCAAACCACTGGTCCACCTTCCAGAGCCCAATGTGTAGGAGCCTTGCACCTATGAATGGGCAGAGATCTGCCCGGGTCCCTGGGGATGACAGTGGAACGCAATCTTGGACTTTTATGCTGGGTCAGAAGAGGAGTCGTTGCTCACTTTCTTCCCCAGCATTCTCTCTGTGAGAGGCGGGTGCGACAAGGAGACATTTTAGAGGGGGCTGTGGAAGGTTTTTTTTACATATGTAGTCAGCACACAATTATCAAAAGCAAGCAGAGGCGTGGAAAATTCTAAACAAAGGCTACACCAGAATTCGCCCTGGCAGACAGTAAACCTGCTTAGTCAGCGGCCTGTGCATATGCACCACACCCAGCCGCCCCAACCTGCCTGGACCCCTGACCAAGAAGGGCCATGAGTGGTGGGTGGGCATGAGTTGAGGGCCATGTGGGTGGGCATGAGTTGAGGGTCTGCGTAGCCTTCACTTTTATTATAAATCTGCAATGTATAATAGGGGGCCTTGCTGTTCATCCAGCCCATCAGTTATACAGAGGGAAACAGACCGTGGGAGGAGCTGGGTCCTGGTCAGAATCACATAGCAAATGGGTAGTACCCAGGTTCCCTTCCTTATAGTCCGACATCTCCTGCTGTCTGACCTTTCATCTCATTGATAGATTTCAGGCCTTCTCATTCATTCTACAGGCAATTTCTGTTTCCTACCCTCATTGAGGGGAGTTTTTAGTGAGGCAACAAAAAAGGAAAAAGCTCTAAGTTAGAAGTGAGATCAGGGTGTGCAGCTGGTAGGAAGGCAGAAGCTTCGGAGACTGGGTGAGGCAGAGTGACTGCCGAGTCTTGCTTTCCCCATCTGTGCCTTTTTAAGAAAAGGTAGAGCTGCACCCTCTAAACTGTCACATACCATCACATATCTGTCCCCAACTCTCCCAGATCCATGACCTCAAGTCCTCTCTCCATAGGCAGAAAAGAGGCTGCTTCGGGCACCACTCCTCAGAAGCCCCGGAAGCCCAAGAAGGGGGCCGGGAACCCTCAAGCCTCAACATCGTTATTGCAGAGTGACATTGCCCAGCGTCTCCTGGGAGAGCAGTGGCCTCTGAACGATGCCCAAGTGCAGGCCTCGATGGTAAAGGTCCTTACAGAGCTGCTGGAGCAGGAAAAGAAGAAGGCCATGGATACCAACAAGGAGAGCAGCAAGAAAAGCCGCAAGCGGAAGCTGTCAGGAGATCAGCTGGCTCCCAAGGCTCCCAAGAGCAAAAAGAAGAAACAGCTGGCCTCTGGAGAAGGTGGGGAGGACACTGTATCCCCAGGAAAGGCCTCCATGACTTCCAAGGGGAAAGCAAAGAGAGACAAAGCAAGTGGTGATGTCAAGGAGAAGAAGGGGTCTCCTGGCTCCCAGGGGGCCAAGGACAAGCCAGAAGGGGAGCTTCGAAAGGGGGTGGTAAAGGTGGAGGGTGGCGATCAAAGCAACCCAAAGATGAAGAAAGAGAAGAAAAAATCTGACAAAAGTAAGTAACTTCACTTCCCCAGGCTCGTGCCAAGTGCTACCTGGGTGGGAGGACTCCTCAGCCAGCACCTGGTATCATTCCTTTCACTGAAAGGAGAGGCTGAGCAGTGGTTTGTCTAGAATTAGGGGGCAACTAGTGGCAAGCCAGAACTGGGTTCCAGAGCATCTGAGCTGTCAGGGAGGCTCCAGTGCAGTAGTGTCAGGGCTGTTCCTGGAGCCCGGAGTGCTAGCTCAACAGCATCCAGCAGTCACATATTCAGCTTCAGGCTTTTAGAAGGCCCAAGCTCAGGCTGTGTCCTGAGTGAGGACAGGGAATCATGTCCTCTTTCCATCCAGCCCAAGTCAACAGATCTTGGAGGATCCTGCTTCTCCAGCCAGCTCCCTAGATACAGAACGGACCAGGAACAAGAATGCCTGAATTTTTGTCCCAAGCCCTGCCCCTTCTCTCTAGATACCACTTTTCCCTCAGTAGTATTAGTGGCCCTTAATGAGCTCTGGGCTGCACTATGCATGTAGCAGGCCCTCGTTTAATTCTCATCCTAGCCCTGTCCAGTAGGGGATATTTCATTCCTATTTTCTATGTTGAAAACCATGGCTCGGAGGAGAGGTACTTAGGGTCACAGTTTTACTGGGTGGAGCCAGGTGCAAATGTACGTGGCACTCTTGATCACTGTCCTGGTGGTGGTGAAGAGATGAGGGAGACTACACAGATACATAAGGAATCAGCTCATCAGAGTGAGAGCCAGGCACCTAGAGCAGGACATGCAGCCCTTTGGTGCTCATATACTGGATTTCCTTTTACAGTAGGGCCAAGTAGTGTCCTTTTAAAATAAATGTGCAGGCATTTTTAAAAGTGAATTAATCTAAAGAAAAATGAAAGTAGTCCAGGTCAGGCACAGTGACTCATACCTGTAATCCTAGCACTTTGGGAGGCAGAGGCAGAATGCCAAGAGTTTGAAATCAGCCTTGAACTTTGGTAGATATGAACAACATATATACCAAAAAAATTTAAAAATTGGCCAGGCACAGTGGCACATGCCTGTAGTATCAGCTAATTGGGAGGCTGATGTGGGAAGATCACTTGAGCTTAGGAGTTCAGGCTGCAGTAAGCTATGATCATACCACTGCACTATAGTCCAGGCAACAGATGGAATCTTATACTAGTCCAGATGGTCCATAGATGGGACAGAAGTCATGAGGCTGGCCACCAAGGGGCATGCATGCTAGGTTGCTGAGTGGGCACCATTGCTGGTGGCTCCCCAAGGCATGAGCAGAACTGGAGACCCGGCATCAGCAAGAGTGAGCTTTGGGTCCCTGGAGCCTGGCCCTTGTGTGCCTCCTGACATTGACCCCAACGCTCATGATCACCATCTATAGCTCAGGAAATTTACTTTCTTCCCTCAGAAAAAAAGGACAAGGAAAAAAAGGAAAAGAAGAAGAAAGCAAAAAAGACCTCAACCAAAGACCCTGAATTACCAATTCAGAAGAAAAAGAAGAAAAAGGTAGAGTTCCTGAGGGGATCTCAGGCTAGAAAAGGGATCTATCTCAAATCCCCAGGGTGAATGTTAGCCCTTGCCACATATCAGACCTGGATTCTGCTCCCCTTCCATTCTCTGGGTCTTTGGGGGAACCTCAGGTTTTGACATACTAAGAAAGACTAGGAGGGCATGTCCCCTCCTAAGCACATGGAAGCCATGGAAGAGTCTTGTCTCTGAGGTAGGAGGATGGTGGGAGAGGGACAGTGAAGGCAGAAGATACCCCCAGGGATAGGGAGGCTTTTGCAGGTTTCCAGGTAAAAGAAAACATTACCTGGGATGTGCATGGTGTCTCAGCTTGTAGTTTTCCCCACTGAAGAAGCACACTGTTGCATCATGGGTGTCAAAGCCTGATGCACTGAGCAAGGGCTAAAAAGCCCTAGGGCCAGCATCTTAGACACAGCAAGGCCTCAGCTATGTTGAGGAAAGCTGATTATCTGTTGCTACAAAGGCCTGTGCTCCTTCTTGGAGGCCACATACAGCACTACCCTTGCCCTCTGAGGTCTCTGCAGACCCAGTGTCTATTCTGGGAGAGCCACCGGTCCTCAGGAGTTGGGGACAGCAGTGGGTGGGAAGAAGTTGCAGGTCCCAGAGCCTCTCATACTTTTCTCCTCACAGAAGAAGACAGCAGAGCAGAACGTGTAAGGGTCACAAGCACAAGGCGCAGGTATGCTTCCTGACCCTGAGCTAGGCTGGAGGCCAGTTCTGGCACCCACTGTGGTCCTGGAGAGCCTGCCAGACCTCATAGGTGGGAAGGGGATTTCACTTCTGTGGAGCCAGTGTAGTGATGCCTAAAGCTGGCAGTACAGTGTCAGAAGGATCCAGCACTATAATGGCAGTGGCTAACACCAAGTGCACTTGGTGAAAGTGCTGTGTGTGCCTGAGGAGCCTTGGGGGGCACTGGGACAGAGCATATTTGTAGGTGAAATTGGGTATGGCTTGGTCTCTCCCTTATGCCTGTCTTGTAACTTGGGGGGCATTTCCTCTTGGAGGGAAGAGGACTTGCTTAGAATAAGCCATCATAATAGTACTCTGTCTCCCTGTAGAGGAAAGGCCCTGCCAGATGGTGGTGACAGAGTTAACTGCTCTACTTGACTGTGTTGACCCTGTCACCCAGGCTTCTATAAATGGGGACTCACACAGAACCTGCCTCCTAGGCTAGTGGTGAGATCTTTGTGACCATAAACACTAAAGCACTCAGCCCCAAGTCCCAGGATGTGCCAAGTGCTAAAAAATGTCTACTGTGGTTAGTTAATTCCCTTCCCCTGCTTTGGAGGAGCCAGATTTTATTTTTCTAGATGGAGAAAAAGTTCAGAAGGTCTCACATCTGGATGTGTTTCCTTCCCTCAGGGATCTCTGAGCCAAGCGGTGACCATCCCATGCCTCTGACCTCGGACTACCTTTGCCGCCATGGGTTAGAACTGAATTTTTAACTTCTCCTTCCATAGAAGACAATGAGTGGCTGTGGGGTCCCTATGCTGGCCAAGCCAGTGAGCCTGCAGAAAGACTGGTCCCAGGAGGATGTGGCCCAGCTCCCATGACCTTGCCCTGCCCGCCCCCAACACAGGACGCTTCATATAGATGTGTACAGTATATATATATTTTTTTAAATGACCTGCCTCTCCCCCAACAACTCAAAATGTCCAAGGCCTCAGGACTTTCCACCCAAGAAAGTCTCTGCCGACCCAGCTAGGCCCAACCTGCAGCTCGTCTCATGCCACGTGGTCTCAGCTCATCCTGAGGCTTTGTCCTCCTGTCAGTTTTTTCAGTTGTGTTGTTGTTTTTCATTTGTTTTGTTTGGCTGGGTTTTGTTTTTTAAGAACTCAAAAAATAAAAGACTTGCAGGAAAAAGTGCAAGTTTCCAGTGCATCTAGGGCAAACGCATTGAGTTGGCTTATATTTGGAAGGGATGGTGTGGCCGACACCCACCATTCCTCCTTGACTCTGTTTCAAGGCTCTGGGATACTATGGCAGCTGAGACAGGCAGTTTGCCAGAAAGAGACTCAAGGAAGCACCCTGAGGGCCGCATTGGTGGGGAAGGCATTATGGAAGAAGTGGCCGCTGAGCTATAAGAGGGTCATGGTTGGTCCCCCAAATCTCTAGTAGGTCATGCAAACACCCAAAGGGGACATTAGGAGCCACCTTTTGAAGTAACAACTTCAGGTGGCAGGTTCTTGAGAAATAAAGGGGAAGGTAGCTGCAGGAGCAGGAAAGCCAGGGAGGAGATCCTCATGTCCAGGTCATGATGGGAGCAAGGACGAGAAATGGATGAACCAAAAAGGCATGTCAAGTGATGTCCACAGGACCTGGCAATGGCATGGGTGTGGATGGGGGCGGGTAGCAAAGGGTGTCTCTTGCTGCTCCAACCTGGAAATACGAAGGCCCACTTCTTGGGTCCAGAGTTGTGTGGAGTACCAGAGGTCCTAGAGATTTCTCCAAAGCTTTTAGCCCCTTGCTAGAGACAGCCACTGGCAGTACAGAATGCTGGGCCAGAGGTCTTGGTGACTCAGTGGCATCCAGCCTCACCCTTGGCTCCAGGACTTAGGCACCTGGCCCTCCCCCCCGCTGGTCTAGAACAGGCTAGAGAATGCTGTCCTCATTGACCCATGCCAAGTCTTTAAACTTAAAAATGGGACAACATTACTGAAGTTTTTACTTTCTGGCTCCTCTTCAAAGCTCAACAGATCTGGCGACAGGGGGCCTGTGCTTCATCATGGCAGCAGCCACTGAGAGCTGGAGAGCAGCTGGCTCCTCAGGCACACATGAGCACCCAGTTCTCCACAGTCCCCCACTTCCTGTCCATTCCCTGACCGGGGCGCTGCATCAGTTGCCATCTGTCATTGCACTCACACTGTTCTTAGTATAGAAATGAAATTGGGGACATGGAGAAGTGAAAGCTTGACCAAGAGAAGCTTGTGCTTTAAAAAGCATAGGCAAGGGCCTGTTTCTTTTTGGAAGTAAAGAGTATTTGTGTGTGTTAAACATGCACCCAGGCCAGGTGTTGCTCACACCTGTAATCCCAGCACTCTGGGAGCCTGAGATAGGTGGATTACTTGAGGTCACAGGTTCAAGACCAGCCTTCAGAGCAAAACCCCACCCCTAAAAATAGCCAGGCATTGTGGCGGGTGCTTGTAGTCCTAGCTACTTAGGAGGCTGAGGCAAGAGAATCTCTTGAGCCCAAGAGTCTGAGGTTGCTGTGAACTGTGATGCCACAGCACTCTACCAAGGGTGACAAAGTGAGACGCTGTCACAAAAAAAAAAAAAAAAAAAAAAAAAAAACATGCACCCAGATGTTTCTGTCTTCAAAGACTGCAGCCTCACAGCATCTCTGGGCTCTTTGGGGTGTCTTCTCCCACTCATGACTGGATGAGGATAAACAACCAGATACCAACAGAAGAGCAGGAGCTAGAGTGTTCTACTTACTACCTTTTATTCTTACATGAGTAGTGGCCCTGAGGGCCATGACAAGCTTGGCTGAGCAGACGGCACTAGGATTAGCAGAGAGGAGGATCGTGGACAGAGAGGCTGAGTTCTCACTGGGGAGAGGGGAAAGGATGGCTCATCCCCCCAGCTAAGTAGGCTGGAAAAGCCAAGGCCGGAGGGGAGAGGTGGGCAACAAATGTATCCAGCCTGGGGCTGGGGGTAGGGTTCTCCCCCCTGTGCTTTCCCACCTCATTCAAGGGCTTGGATCTCAGAGCCCCATGTGGGAGGCTGCTGTGATATCAAAATGGGTCTCCACCTAGTTTTTGGTCCACCTCAGGGCTTGCGTCCCAGTTAACAGGTGAGGGTTGGGCAGCAGGGCCCTGCTGCCTCTGTGCTGTTCTGACATAATTTGTCATGTCCAAAGAAGACTGACGAGCCAGGCATCAGAGTCTTGTGGAATGGGGTGCAGGATAGGAGATCGGAGAGGGGCTGGGTGTTGAGGGCAGAGAGTAGTAGGAAAGCTGTGGCCATGCAGGGCTGGCTGGGTGCTGGAGACTACCCCGGTTGTTCTCACATGATGACTGTGGAGAGAGAAGCAGCAAGTTGAGGCTGGGCTCACCCGTTATTGTCCCTCCCCTTCCTAGCATCCTGGGTGCACAGAGCAGTCAAGGACTGTACCCTCCACTGCCCTGTTGAGCATCATGGATTTGTGTAACCTCTCCACATGCATAACCTTGTTCCTCATCTATGAAATGGTCATCTCCTAGATGTCAGAGAATGGCCCAGGGTCATGCTCCCTCTTCTGCCCATGAGGGAGCTAGCCCCACTGTGTATGGGCTGCTGGTGACCAGATCCTCCTCTACAGGCCCCTTACCTATTCCTGGCTCCTGCTTGGTAAAGCCCAGCCCAGAAGACGGGTCCTCCAAATCCTGAGGCTCTGCAAAGGAGCAGCAAATCCTTTCATTCCTTGCAGAGCAACCTGCCCTCCCCCCCATGATGCCTGAGGGCAGTTGTTCCCCAAACCAACCCCAGGCTTACTGCCTGGGAAAACAGGCTGAAGTTTGAAAGGGCCTCTGCAAGCTGCAATGCAGTGGTGTGGTTGGGAGCTTGGGTGAGCAAGGCTAAGGCAAGTGATGAAAGGAGACAGGTGGATCTGTAGGACTCCTGGATGCAGGAGGACGGTGCATGGATAAGTGAAGATCACAGATGAAAGATGGATAAAAGACCAAATGAAATAGACAAGCGTGGGTGTGAGAGGAGAGATGATAGATGGACAAAAGACGGATGCGTGGGTGGATGGATGGCTGACTGGCTGCCCCCTGGGAGCTGCCATTTTTGTCCCATGTGCTCTGGGGGAAACCTCTTTCCCCTCAACCTTCCTAGCTGGTCCTTCAACTCTCACCAGCACAGTGGCCACTGCTTACCACTGCAGTTATGCTGCCCACGGCTCCTGGTGTGGGGGACCTCGGTGCCGTTGGGGAAGACACACCAGCAGTAGCCGATGCTCCCATGGCACTGGAGCGGCATATAGTTGCCGTTCTCGTCGCACTTGGGACGGAATGTGCCTGGGTGGATGGCAGGGACGCGGCTGAACTCTTCCTGGCACTTGGTCAATACTGAAGCGACAGGCATGATGAAGACACAATGAGTGAATGGGCTCTAGACTGCAGTCTCAGCAGTCAGAGACTCACACACCACTGCTATGAGCCTAATGCCTTCAGCCTAAGTAGCTCTACTCACTCTGTCCATTGCACAGAAGGGAAAACTGAGGCGAAAACCAACAAGTTCCAAGATCAAATAGGAAGTGAATGGTACAGTCGGTGTCTGATTCACTCCAGAACTTGGTAATTTGTTTTGATACTCAAAGCCCTTTCAAGCTTGAATTTTACCTACGATTTTGATTTCTGGAGGAAAACCCTGGAAACTTTGGTAAGTCTAAGTTTCCTGTTACTGGGACTTCCCAAGTAGGAATGGGGTTACCATTTATTAGAGTACTGTAAAGGGGATTTAAGCTTCAGATGGGAGCTGATGGAGATAGCAATGTGAGGTGATGTCTCTGAATCTTGTGGAGAAATCAAGGCCCCGGGTAGGGTGGGCCATTGACCTTCCACTTCAGAGGACACTGCAGCCCAGGGGGAAAGACTTGTCTAGAGTTGCACAGCAAGTTAGAGACAGCACTAGGATGAAAATAGCACTTTATGTTAGACCACAGCAGCATGTGAAAAAGGGGGGAGTGTGCAGTTTAGGGCTCAAAACTCCTGGTACACATTCTCCATTAAGTGGGAAATACCAAGGCCCTTTCGCCTGGCACTCACTGCTGTGAGACCTCTGCCCCCGCGGCCTGGAGTTGTGGAGGGTAGTGCTGGGAAAGGCAATACAAGGATGCCTGCCTGGTGTGTTTCAGGCTGTGTTTGCTCCAGACCTTATGCCATCCTCCACTCATGAAGAGCAGCCCTTAGGCGTGAAGAGCAGACCACAGAAAAGATGGAGCCCGGGAGGCAGCCAGACCAAGAAGGAACAGGAAGTCAGGACAGAAGTGAGAGTGGAGGGAGGAAGGGAGGTTCCCATGGTGCTGGGTCAGGGAGTGCAAAAGGCCCCAGTCTGCAGCTCCAGGAGAGCGCTGAGGGAGCTCCCAGAAGCCCCAAAGCTCCCACTCCCTGTACCTTTTGGTGGAGCCTCAGTGGGCTTTTCCTCCCCAGAGTTCTTGCTCATTTCAAACAAGAGCCACTGGTGCATCCAGCTCTCAAAGACCTAACAGGGACAGAGGTGGGGGTTCAAGCTCAGTAGCCATCACCAAGTCCCCACCCTGAAAATGGCTTCCTCAGCCCACCTTTTCCCAGCCCTGCCCAAGTTGTTGTGAGAGAGAGAGAGGGTGCAGGGAAGCCTGCTGACCTTCCAGTCCAGGGTCTCCATGGTGCTCTTGAGGTGTTTCAGGTTCTCTGGGAAGTTCCCCTTCATCTGGGGGTACACCTTCAGGGGGTCAGCCTTCTGCAGGGTGGCAGGGCAGGAAGGATGGTTAAAAAGAGGGCCCTGGCAGACAAGGTGAAATGTATAGCCTACATTCCCCTGGTCTTTCATTCTGAGAAGTGGACCCAAGCTGCACCAAGCCTGGACTCTGGACTTCTGCCATGAGGGGAGGGTAAGGGAAGGATAAGGGTGGCTCAGCTGTACAGTTACAGGAGCCCAAGTTCCAGGCCAGCTCTACTAGTAACTCTGAGTCTTCTGTTCCTTGCAGATACCTACTCATCTTTCAGGCCTCACTCCTCCAAGAAGACTGCCTTGACTGTTCCAAGCTAGATTAAGTCCTCTGCCTCTTTCCTCACAAAGTCCCCTGCACCTCCTTCATCACCTAGTCACTTGTTTGTCTCCCACACTAGCCTGAGATCTCTGTGGCTTCAGGAGTATGGGTCCTGAGCCCTGCACAGTGCCTAGCACAGAGTAGACATGCAGTAGAAATTTAGGAAGGAAAATGGGGTGTCTTACATAAGGCACTTCCACGCTTTTGGCCTCAGTTTCTCTATCTCAAAAATGGGGGGAGGCTGAACTATATACAACATCTAAGGGCCACCTCTGCATTCCTTCAGTAATCCAGAGAGCACAT